GGTGAGATGGTATCTCATTGTGGTTTTAATTTGCATTCCTCTAATGGCTAGTGATCGCGAGCATTTCCTCATGTGTCTGTTGGCCATTTGAATGTCTTTGGGACACTTTTGAGGGGTAAAAGGAGCTCCACTAATAATTACACGAGGACAGGCACCACCCAAGAGTATCTGAAGACACCCGGGACATATGGTGGCCCTGACCGCAAACAAGTGCAGAAGAGAGACAAGCTCAAACTGTCCAAGGCAATGCTTCTCAAACTTTCCATGGTGAAGGACTTGTTTTCAATTTATCATGGGCAGGTACTTTTGTAAAATACAATAAAATAAAAATGGATTATTAGAAAAATGAAAAGAAAAAAAAGCAAGGATGTATAAAGTGTATACCTACATTTTTTATTATTAGATTGAACAAACATAAAATTACTGTCATAAAAGTTGTAGCCAGAATAAAGAAGTCTTACAACTCAATAATAAGATGAAACAGTTTTAATGGGCAAAGGATTTGAACAGACACATCACAAGAGAAGATAGTGAATGGCTAATAAGCTGAAGAAAAGATGCTCAACATTATTAGTTATTAGGGAAATGCAAATCAAAACCACAATAAGGTACCACTTCACACCCACGAGAATGACTATAGAAAAAGAGATGACAACAGCAAGTGTTGATGAGGTTGTGGAGAAACTGGAACCCTCATACACTGCTGGTGGGGATGTAAAATGGTTCAACCACATTGGAAAGGAGTTGGGAAGTTTCTTAAGAAGTTAAACATTTATCTACTACTATATGACCCCGCCATTCCACTCCTAGGTGTTTACTCAAGAGAAATGAAAACATATCTCTACCCAAAGAGTTGTACAAAAATATTCATAAGCAGCTTTATTTGTAATAGCCCAAACTGGGAACCATCTGAATGTCCATCAACAGGCAAATGGATAAACCACTTGTGGTCTATTCATACAGTGGAATACTGTTCAGCACTAAAAAACAATGAAGCATTCATACTCGCAAGTACATGGATGAATCTCACAGGCATTATGTTGATGTGAAAGAAGTCAAGCACAAATGACCACATCCTGTCTGATACCATTTATACAAAACTCTAGAAAAGACCAATCTAATCGGCACAACAGAAAGACAGAAAGCAGATCGGCCATTGCCTGGGGCTGGGGTGGCAGGTGAGGGGGGTCACTGGGAAGGGTACAGGGAAGCTTTTGGGGTGATTGAAATCTCCTAAGTCTTGATCATCGTGATGGGTACCTGGCTGTATAAATGTGTCAAAATGTACACCTACGGCAGATGCCATTTATTGACGTACATTGTTGTGTGCCACGGGGCCGGCTCTGACTCGTGGCGACCCCATACGACAGAGGAGAACTGCCCCATCGGGTTTTCTAGGCTATACAGGGTCGCTGTGAGTCGGAATCAACTTTTTTTTTTTTTAATCCTTATAGAAGCAGACCTTCCAGCCCAGCTTTGGGGGACCTTTCAGTTAGCAGCTGAGTGCTTAACTGCTGAGCCACCAGGGCTCCTTATTGATATCAACTATACCTCAATAAAGTTGATTTTACAATTACTTGTCAGATGACTCTGAATGTTTTCTAAACACTTACTCTCTTACCATCTGTGTTCTTAGCTCGTGGCTGCCCGGCACCAAACAGTGGGTGCCAGCTCCAGGCCGAGGCCACACCTGGACTGGCTCTTGGTCTAGACTAGACGGAGACGGGTGGGTCCTCAGGTGAACACCGCCCGTTTCTTATCTCAGGTGGACAGTCCCCCTTGGAGATGGCCTGGGGACAGTTCCTGGGATTCCTGCGGCAGATGGCAAGGTAGTTGTTGGGGTTGCCTGCCATCAAGTCCACCCCCAACTCATGGTGCGCCCCTGTGCACAACAGAACAAAATGCTGCCCAGTCCTGCACCGTCCCCGTGATGGCGGCAGACCAGACCGTCGTGATCCATAATGCTTTCGTTGGCTGATTTTCAGAAGTAGATCTCCAGGTCTTTCCTTCTAGCGCAGCTCAGTCTGCAAGCTCAGCTGAAACCTGTTTAGCACCATAGCAACATGCAAAGCCTCCACTGACGGCCGGGTGGTGCTGCCCCATGAGGTGCATTGGCCGGGAATCAAACCTGGGTCTCCTGCACGGAAGGTGAGGATTTTACCACTGAACCACCACAGCCCTGATGGCAAGGTAAGGAAGTGATACTTCCTGCTGGTTAAGGACACGGGCCTGGAGGCGGATCCACTGCATGGTGTCCTGCTCCCCACTTTACACTCTGTGACCTTGGGCACAAGTGCCTCACCTGCCTCACCTGTGTACAAGTACCTGTCACAGGGTTGCTGCTGGATGAAATGAGTCAACATGGATGATGTGTCAGAGCTGCCCCAGCCGTCTTAAGCCTGTGAGAGTGTCTGTCCTTTTCTCAGTGGAGACTGTTCGTATCCTAGGTGAGGAGCTTAAGTGAAAGACCAGCAGACCCTGGAATGACCCCACGAGCACAGGGACGGCTGGCCCTTACCATCTGTCCTCACAGCCACCAAGGCCCACAGACCCTTCCAGGATGTCCTCATCAAACCCAATTTGAGATTCATTTTCTTAGCGTCATTTTCAAGCCCCTTAAATTGCAAGTCCCCCCAGAAGGGGGGGCCTGGACTCTCTCACGCTGGTTCAGAGGGCCCTGAGCAAGAGCAGGGCCAATGGCACCAGCAGTGATGCCAAGTGGGACCCGGAGGCCCTCGACTGTGTGGAATCGTTCAGGTTTCTCTGAATCCACTCGGTGTATGTGGACACGCGTGTGTAGACACCAGACCGGTTCGGCCCAGCACAGCCGACTCCCCAGCTCACAATCCCAGCCTGGATCCACGTGTCTTTGATGGGACAGACCAGAGGTCCCTCGGAGTCCCCCTGAGGAGAAGAAGGGAGGGACCGCAGGCCTGCGGTGAAGAGGACTCCTGGGGGAGACCCTGGGACGTGGGGGCAGAGCCAGGCCATGATGAACTCCTGGGAGTCTGGGGGTTGCCTGGGGGTGCCCTTACCTAGCAGGAATCTTTCTTGCCCTCCTCAAAGCTGGCGCAGAGCATGTCATCCTGGATGAGACGCACCCCGGCCAGGCTGGTGTCCCCCAGGTGGTACAGCCGCTCACACTCCTCTGAGTTCAAGAGCAGCACAGCCACCTCCTGCAGGGTGTCCGCCAGGACTGGACACAGGGAGGGCCAGCCTGAGTAGCCAACTGGACGTGGAGGGCCACTTCAAGCCACCAGGTGGGGCCCAGCAGGTGAGCCCCGCCCTCCCACCTGTGGGAGATCCAGCCCCTCCTCTGCCCTCTTGCCTCCCAAAGCCAGCAGGTCACGGGTACCCTAGAGAGCAAGGGCAGCGGGGCCCCGGGGATCCTGTCCAGCCTCAACAAAGGCCTGAACCCTGGACTCCAGCGCCAAACCAGTAAAACCAGTTGCCGGATCAATTCCAACTCATGGCGACCCCATGTGTGTCCAAGTAGAACTGCATGCCACGGGCTTTTCAGGCCATGACCTTTCAGAAGCAGATTTCCAGGCCTTTCTCCCGAGGCATCTCTGGGTGGGTTTGAACCACCAACCTTTCAGTTAATAGTCGAGTGCCTAACCCTTTGCAACACCCAGAGAACCGGACTCTGGCACAAGGTCAGCCAAGTCCAACACATGTGGTCACTTGGCCAAGGGCAATGCTAGGATGTGGATATAATACAGTCCCTGGCCCCAAGCCCTCCCAGCTTCCAGGTGGGGAGAGCAGACGGACACGCCAACCTCGGTGGAGAACTTTCTGAGCTGGGCACAGACAGGCCCTGCCCTGTGGGGCATCTGGTTGACCATCAAGCCAAGGGAATCAGTAATCCTCTGGGGTGGGTCCACTCGGCCAGGACACACTGCCTTACCTCTCTCCTGGGTGGACCCTTAGCCGGTTACCTGGGATGCTGGGAGGCAGACGGGGGTGGCCTGGGAGGGTTGCACGGGGGTGTCCAGCTGCACCAGGGCGATGTCCCCACTGGACCTATCCTGCCTGGAGTATGAGGGGTGGACAAAGAGCTTCCTCACAGTCACAGAGGCCGAGTTGGGTTCCAAAAGGGAGAGGGTCAGTCCTCCAGCTTTAACAAGGTAGCGCTGGGGGTTGGGAGACCTAGGAGGGGGCAGAGACCCAGCCTGCTGAGGGTGCTGCCACGGGGAAGGGGCGTGGAAGGAAGGAGGGGGACAGGGCGCTGCAGCCCCTCCCTCGCCCTCACTCACCTGAGGAAGCAGTGGGCAGCTGTGAGCACCCAGCGTGGGTGGATGAGGCAGCCCCGACATATGTGCCCCTGTGAGGTCATCCTCAGGCTGACTTGCCACGGCCACCATCCTGCCTGGGCATCCTGGCCGCCCACGATCCTCCCGGCAAACTCGGAGTGGCCGCACACTGCAGAGAGACCGGCAGATGGACACCTTCCGTCCTTCCTCCGCAGCCATGCTCTCTGCAGGCTCGGCCACCCTCCACATGTGTCCCTCACTCCGACACCTCCTACTGCAATCTGCTTCCAGGGCTGGTCTTTACCTGCAGTTAGCACATCCCCTCGTGCCCCTGGAAACAAAGAGGAGAGAGAGGTGGGGTCTCCATCCCAGCCACAGAGCCACCACCAAGGTCAGGCCAGGGGGGTCAGAGCAGAAGTGAATCCCCCACCCCAGCCCACCTTCGGGGGCCACCCCAGACTGGAGGAGCTTCCCATGTCCTCTCTCGCCTCCCCCAGAGGTGGGCTCACCACTCTGGGCTGGGCCTCACACCCTCAGCCTTCCCTGGTCACCCAGCAGGACCTGCTGAGGATGGAACAGAAGCTGGAGAGCCCCAAGCTCCCTCACCACTGAGCAGCTGCAGCAGCAGGACCAGGAGGAGGCCTGCCCAGGGCCCCATGGCTCCTCTTTCCCAGCAGACACTGCTCTGTGGGTGGGTCGGAGTCCTTGGATGGTGCCCAAGGGAGGGGTTGGTGGGTCCTTAACCTGCGGCAATCACCCTGGTGATATTAACCACCCTGGTGATAATTTTGCTGAAGATAACTCAAAAACAGCTGCAGCAGTACATCCACAGGGAACTGCTAGAAATTCAAGCTGGATTCAGAAGAGGATGTAGAACGAGGAATATCATTTGCTGATGTCAGAAGGACCTTGGCTGAAAGCAGAGAATACCAGAAAGATGTTTATCTGTGTTTTATTGACTATGCAAAGGCATTCAATTGTGTGGATCATAACAAATTATGGATAACATATTGAAGAACAGGAATTTCAGAACACTTAATTGTGCTCATGAGGAACCTGTACATAGACCAAGAGGCAGTTGTTCGAATAGAACAAGAGGATACTGCGCGGTTTAAAGTCAGGAAAGATGTTTCAGGGTTGTATCTTTTCACCATACTTATTCTATCTATATGCTGAGCAAATAATCCAAGAAGCTGGGCTATATGAAGAAGAACAGAGCATCAGGATTGGAGGAAGACTCATTTACAACCTGGATTGTGCAGATGACACAACCTTGCTTGCTGAAAGTGAAGAGGACTTGAAGCCCTTACTGATGAAGATCAAAGACCACAGCCTTCAGTATGGATTACACCTCAACATAAAGAAAACAAAAATCCTCACAACTGGACCAATAAGCAACATCACGATAAATGGAGAAAATATTAAAGTTGTCAAAGATTTCATTTTACTTGGATCCACAATCAACGCTCATGGAAGAAGCAGTCAAGAAATCAAACGACTCATCGCATTGGGCGAATCTGCTGCAGAAGACCCCTCTCAAGTGTTACAAAGAAAAGATGCCACTTTGAGGACTAACCCAAACCATGGTGTTTTCAATCGCCTCGTATACATGCAAAAGCTGGACAATGAATAAGGAAGACCATAGAAGAACTGATGCCTTTGAATTATCATATTTGTGAAGAATATTGAATATACCTATAGACTCCCAAAAGAACAAACCAATCTGTCTTGGAAGAAGTCCAGCCGGAATGCTCCTTAGAAACAAGGATAGTGAGACTACTTCTCACGTACTTTGGACATGTTATCAGGAGGACCAGTCCCTGGAGAAGGACATCATGCTCAGTAAACCAGAGGGTGAAAGAAAAAGAGGAAGACCTTCAATGAGATGAATTGACGCAGTGGCTGCAACATTTGGCTCAAACACAGCAATGATTGTGAGGATGACGCAGGACCAGGCAGTGTTTCACTCTGTTGTACGTGGGGTCGCTAGGAGTCGGAACCAACTCGACAGCACCTAACAACAATAACAATGGTAATCACCCTGGAGCCCTCCATGCTTGCAGAATGTGGCTCTTGTCCCGCATGTTCTAGGGGCAATGGTTCAGAGGGGCCTGCAAATCCCATCTCCAGCCAGTTTCTCCAAGGGGCCAGGGCTAAAAGCAAGCCAACTAGACTGGAAAGTGGAGACCACACTGATCCTGCAGGCAGGTGAGAAGACCCCCAGTGCTTCACCCATTTTGTTGGGGAAACATTGGGGTCTTCCCTCACTGCTAAGGGCTGCCTCCTTCTCTCCTCCCCATCCCACACCAGGGACTGTGATGTCTAGATACAGACTAGCCTGTGACAGATCATTCCCCCTTCTCTCCAGAGGACACAGCAGCTCAGGAAGAGCCCTCCAATGGCCAACTCTACTTAAGGGGCAGGAGCCTAGGCCAGCCCTGCCCACTGCTATGGGAACAAACACAGCCAGGACTTTGTTCCCAGACCAGGAAGTGTCAATTCAGAAATACCCAGTTATTTTTCCAGGTTTCATTTCCTCCTGCTGCTCTAAAACTTTAGACCCCACTCTAAGGACAGAAGAAGAGGAGGTCCAGGAAATGTGTGCTAAGTCCCGAAGGCTGCTGAGGACACCCCGATGGGCTTGGTGCTCTGCAGGGCCCCAAGGAAACTGAAGGAGAAGCCATAGTTCCATTCCACCAGTGTAGACAGACCTCCTTCCTTCCCTTTTTCATGCCTTCTTTCTGCTTTCATTCTACTTAATTTTCTTCCTTGTGTTCTTTGATTATTTCCAGTATCTTTGATGATATTCCACCAGGAATCCTATAGCTTTCTGCCTTGTTATTTGTTTTTAACTGAGCATGCAGAGATGAAGAAGGAAGAGCTTGGACTCTGAAGTTAGATGGAGCCAGTTGTTCAGCTGTTGCTTCTCAGCTCCAAAACCATCCATCTACACTTGGCCTTATGGTGTTGAGGTTGTCATCCAGCCAACCTCATTTAGGCTTTGGAGCTGGCTCTGCCAAGAGGGAACGCTAGAGGGAGACTGTAAGTCTGCAGGGGGAAGAAGGGAATCGCTCCTATCGTCTATTTCGTGGAGATTTCCCACCAGCTTCTGTCTGCTTGCGGTTCCTGTGAGCATCACCCAAAGGTGCATCTTCACCCAGGCAGCAACATTCCTGTCCCATAACCAGTGGCTGTTGAGTCGATTTTGACTCACGGCCACCCCAGTGTGTCAGGGTAGAACTGTGCTCCATGGGGATTTCAGTGGCTGATTTTTTGGAAGAAGACGGCCAGGACTTTTGCCCATTCCGTTCCCAGAGTGGTAGCAGAATCCAGTTTGCAATTTTTCCAACACTTGGGGAACAAGTTTTGTCATGCTCCATCTCAGAGACACCAGTGCCAGGCAGCCAGTGCCTCTTCTTTGCACCCTGTCTTCAGTGATCCTGGGTCCCTGGCCCCTCGGCTCCTCCTCTAAGCCCAGACACACCAGCGTCAGCTGAGCGCCTTCTCCTGAGAGCTCTGCGTTGCAGCTCCACAAAGGGCCTCTGGGTGGTTTGCACCAGCCAGCACTACTGATGACCGATATATGTGTCTCCTTTTCAGGTCTTCCTTTGAGGAACTCTGGTGGCACAAAGGTTAAGCGCTCGACTGCTAACCAAAAGGTCCGCGGTTCAACCCACCATACGCTTCATGGGAGAAAAGACCTGGTGATCTGCTCCCATAGAGTACAGCCTAAGAAACCTATGGAGCAGTTTACTCTGTCACATGGGGTCGCCAGGAGTCGAAATCAAACTCAGCAACACACATCAACAACATATAGTGTCTGCTTGTTGGATTTGCCTTTGAACCAGTTGTAACATCTTACTGGTTCCCTCAACATGTTCATTTTATATTTGCATAAATTATGATATTACCTTTTTTAAAAAACATTATCTTTTAACAGTTTATATCCTGATTCAAACAAGCCCTCTGTAAAACATTATAAAATTATCTGGGAAATACGAACACTAATTATATTTTATATCAGTAATGAATTACTGTGAGTTTTATTTTAGTGATAACGGTATTTATAATGCCCCTGTCTTTTAGAGATACATACTAAAAAGTTAAAATAAAAAAATTTCTAAATTGTTCTAAAAAATCCAGAGTGAAAATAGCCAGTCGCTGAGTCATCCAGTTATAGTGAAACAGAAATGAACGCTCAGGGAACTGCCTGGTGCTCACTTTGTACCTGGAAGTGAGGTGGGTGAGGTCACAGTCATGACGGTGCCAGCTTCTTCTAGGTTGACAAGCAGAGGCAGGTGTCATGGGAGAGGAGGTTTCATTATTTGGGGTATAATCACATGACCAGGCCCTCTGTGTTGTGCTAACATTAGACTAGTAAAGCACCATTGTCCTGGGGAAAAGGTGTGGTGGGACCTTTTGTTCCAGGATGGTTAAAGCCTGAGCTGACCTTCTCAAGACCCCTTGATATGTAAATCTGAGTGATGAATTTTGAATTGCCAAGGAGCAATTCAGAAGGAATCCTCCCTTTACTGGGGTCCACTGTGGGATTGCCACTACTTCTTGGTATATGGATTAAATGCAGTTTCTCTTGAACTATACACCATAACACACAGGCTGGAGATAACGAACAGCAGCACAGGTAAATATCAGCAGTATTTCCTAGCACCCATATCATCACCGGGGCCTGGTGGCGCAGTAGTTAAGAGCTCGGCTGCTAACCAAAAGGTCAACAGTTGGAATCCACCAGCTGTTCCTTGGAAACCTGTCCTATAGAGTCACTATGAGTCGGAATCAACTTGACGGCAACGGGTTTTTTGTTTTTCTAATATCATAACAAGACAGCGCTAGAGTCATTTTCTTAAAACCGCTGTCTCCTCAGGATAGCCCCTCGCCCAGCCCATTTCCTGAAGTTATTTTTCTCCTCGGAATTTCCTTGAAAAGAAACAGCTGCCGGATAGCCAGAACTGGCTAAAATGAGTCCTGCCCTCCATCTTGGCACTCCAGATGACCTTCAAATCATCAACTGCCTCATGCATGGAAATTCTCCACCCCTGGGTGGAGAGCTATCATGCTAATGAACAAAAATGGCTAACTTCTTCCTGCACAGGGACTCAAACCTGGGCCTTAGAAAATGCTCACTCATCCTAAAACGCTCCGTGCCTGTGTGCGTGCCATTTTGCATCCTGCCTATATAAACCAGCTTTAGCAAGCTGCTTGAGAGCAGTCTTGGAAGGCACTTAGCCCCGACTGTCTCCTTGCTTGGCCAACCAATAAAGCTACTTTTCGTTCTCCCCGACTTGGTCTCCGTCTTTTTGGTCCCAGACAGAGTGGCACCAAGCAGAACCCGGAGCTCCCAGCAACAATCATAGAACCAAACCAAAAAATCAAACCCATTGCTGTCAAGTTGATTCCAACTCATAGCAACCCTAGAGGACAGAGTAGAACTGCCCTATAGGGTTTCCAAGGAGCACCTGGTGGATTCTAACTGCCGATCTTTTGGTTAGCAGTCGAACTCTTAACCACTGCACCACCAGGGTTTCCAATCACAGAACAAGCGTAGCATAAACTAGTTTAGTTAAACAGGAGCATGTCATGAAAGTAGAGTTTAGTGAGGTTTGCAATTATTCACGTTTTTTCTGATGGACTGGGATGGTTCCAGCTAAGGTCCATTAAAAACAAGTTATTGTCTGGTCGTTTCCAACTCATGACGACCCCATGTGTGTCAGAGTAGAACTGTACTCTACAGGGTTTTTAATGGCTGAGTTTTCAGTAGTAGATCTTCCGAGGTGCCTATCGGTGAACTCGTACCGCCAACCTTTTGGTTAGCAGCAAGCGTGTTAACCATTTGCCCCACCCAGGGACTCCAAGGTACATTAGCAGGAAGTATGCCCAAGGACCGCAAAGGCAATTCTCCCTGAGTAATTCAGGCCCGATGTGAGTACCTAAGGGTTCAAGCACAGCATGTGGCTGAGGCTAGAAGCCCCTTTAGACGTTGTCACCCTGGCACTCTGCTATAGACAACAGTGGCTGGGCATCTGAGCATGACCATCAAGACTTGCAGCCTTGGATTCCACATGTAGTATACCAGGGCAATACTGTCAGCCAACTAGACCAGCAAGGGAATCATCAGGGCCCTGGAGGAGGGTCTAGCAGACTCAGGGGACCAGTGTTCATCAACACCACCATTTGACATTGACCAAAGCAACAGAATTGAACTGAAAGAATGATGGGACTTTTCTGTCCACTTTCTTTGCTGGAAGCTGGACTGGTCTCTTTGGGCTGAATAAACCCTTAAGATTCTTGGCTAATTCGTGGATGGAGTGGAGAGGCCCCAAGAGAAGGACTCTGTTCTAATGAGAGAATATGGGTGCTTGAGTGACTAATTAGAAAAACAGAAGAGATGCGTCCACATTGTCCTCCAAATGGATGACGTAGGTCATCCTCGTTACCATGAACTCCTGAAACATTGATTAACATCTACTATTTTCTTGGACACACACCAAGGCGGATAAGTCAGCTCAGAATACTTCTGGGGAAAGAGTCAAGCAAACAGACAATAATAACAGAACATAATAAATGCAGGGACAGAGACTTACCTGTCAAGATGTGTGGTTGGGAGTGAATAATAATAAAAACAAAAAACAAATATATATCGTCTATATGTATAGCAGGGAAAGAACAGGAGGAGAAGGGAGGGAGCATTGGTATTGTCACAGGGTGATCAGGGAAGACCGCTCTTAGAGTGTGACATTTGACCAGAGATCTACAGGAAGTCATCTGGGGGAAGAGGAGGAGACACATTGGGGATCTTTGACCTCCAGAACTGTAAGATAGCAAATGTGTGTCGATTTAAGCCACTAAGTCTGTGGTAATTTCTTCCAGGAAGACTAGGAATGCTGTGGAGGAGACTGCAGAAGCGAGCATCTAGTTGTCCAGGATCCGGGGTGGAGGCCAGTGAGAAAGAGGGGCTGGAATGGGTTTTGGCTTAGCCAACCAAGGGAGCCTGCTGCTGCCGGGAGACCTCGGTTAAATGTGCCGTTGTGAAACACTTGCTCTGGGGGCGTCTTGGGGAAGAGATGGGAGGTCCCAGGCATGGGAATGAGTCTCCTCAAGGGTTAAAGATTTGAAGGAGTGGGGAGCAGTCTTCAGCTAAAGCAGCTCCTGCTGTAATGGCATCTGTCACTATGGCAGATTGTCCCCTGCCCTGCCCTTGGGAGTCAGGGGATCCTTGCACAGGGCTGCCCCATGTGGGAGACAGATGAGTTGGAGACACCTGCCCAGGAGTTCCAGGTAGGCATACTGGCAGCCCAGGGACACCCGTCCCCATTGGGTCACATGGGAGATCTCTTGAGGAGACGGCCCAGGAGGCCCAGGGGTCCCTGTCTGCGGCCCCCAGAGACAGCTGACAATGGGAGGTCCAAAGCAGTGCAGCATCCCCACCCCAAGTGGTCCAGATTTGGTCTTGCTCCTGAGCCTGGCTCCAGCCCAGGAGCAAGAGGTTACTCTCTGCTCCTTGAGTGCAGTACGACCCCAAGGCTTGGCACATAAATGAACCTGGACACCCAGAGCAGGGTGCACACAACCTGACACCAAAAGAAGCCCTGCAGGAAGGGGTCGTCCTGACCAGCCATCTTAATCTTGGGGGAAGAGGATCGTTGGAATTCCTGTCCCACCTCGGAGCCAGGTGCCGGCTCCCCACTCCATGCCCAGCCTGTTCCTCAGTGTTCTGGGCTCCCGGGTGTCCCTAGGGCCCGGGAGGAGGGTGAGAGTGGTCCCCTTGGGCTCAGGGGCTGCCTGGAAGCTGTTCTCCTAACTCAGAGAGACCTCCATCCTTCCCAGGGATTGCCTTGCTGTTTATGGGGTGACTGTTTTGCCACCAGCAGGTATTTCTAGGCACCATTTTCTCAGGGGCTTCTGTAAGGACCCCATTTGAGGGGGGTCTTCTGCCTATTGAAGGAACAGGTGGAAGGATGGGGTGAAGAGACAGCCGGACAGTGGAGAAACCAAGGGACGGAGAGCGAGAGGCACAGAAGGGAGAGAAGCGAAGGACAGAGGGAGGGAGCCAGGGTGAAGGAGGAAAAAATGAGGAGGTGCTCAGGGATGGAATGTAGGGGCATGAGGAGATAGGGGGAGACCCTGGGTGGCAGGGGAGGGAGAAAAACCAAAACCAAGCCCATTACTGTCTATTTGATTCAGACTCATGGCAACCCCGTGTGTTACAGAGTAGAACTGCTCCGTAAGGTTTTCTTGGTTGTAATATTTATGGAAGCAGATCACCAGGCTTTTCTTCTGAGGTGCTGCTGGATGGGTTCGAACCACCAACCTTCGGGTTAGTAGCCAACAGAAAAATCGATTTCTTGACACCCAGGCCTGGGGGGGGCAGTAAATGAGGGTGGAGGGAGAGGACTGAGACAAGAAAGAAGGGCAAGGGGACAGAGGGCAGCAGATGGAAGTAAGGAGGGGACTAGTCATAGACTGGCGCAGTGGTTAAGAGCTTGGCTGCTAACCGAAAGGTCACTAGTTCAAATCCACCACCTGCTCTTTAGAAACCTTGTCCTATGGAATCGACTCAACAACATCAGGTTTGGTTTTGTTTTGTTTTTTAGTCACAGCGGGGAGGGGCCGCGGGATGGGGCCAAGGCTGTGCAGGGTCAGCTGGGGCCTGGAACCAGGCTCTGCACACCTGGGCCAGCTGGCACATGGCCCACCTGAGTCACTATTCACTCCCTAGGCTGGTTCCTGGTCAGCAGACGCCAGTTTGTCCAGGGGAAGCTGAGGAGCGTCTTTGGCCCCGTGCAGCAGACCCAGTAGGCAGGCATGGTCCCAGATGGGGGTGAGCTGGCCGCCTCTGGGCCTGGAGGAAGGGGGACACGGGCTGGACCCAGGAGGCCAGAGGATCCAGGAGGCCAGAGCCGCTGGGGCCTGGGACGGTGCCCCCCATCCCTCCGTGGGGCAGGCCAAGTGACTCAGCCCAGGATGTGCACAGCCTGGAGACCGGCTGTCTCACTGTTTTGCTCCTTCCTTGGAGGGAATTTACAGAATCAACAGTGAGTCAGGATAAGAGTGACGAGGCTGGGGTGCCTCAACTGAAATCGGGAGGCAGAGAGCTCAGAGGGGCCAGCCCCGGCAGTGCCCCCCCATGCCTGCTGGCTCGTCGGGACACACCCTGTCAAAGCCTCCATCTGGGCTCTGCCCCGTGCACAGCTGGATGACGAAGGGGCAGCTTTTGGGTCAGGAGGGTGCAGGTGGGGACGGGGAAGGGGGAAGCGGGCTCTGGGTAGAGCGGGTGACGGGTAACACCCTACTGTCATACGGGTGGGGGTGGGTTTCTCCCAGCCAGCCTCGCCCTGAAGGTCCCTAGCCCTGGCTTCCTCATACCAACAGAGCCGGTGGCGGTGGCGGAGGCCCTTCCAACCCTCCTCTGTTAATCTCCCTGGTGGGAAGGGGAGAGTTTGAAGGGAGGGGTGAGCTGGAGGCTGGAAGGGTCGGAAGTCAAGATATTGCACCATAGGTGGAAACCAGGGGTCTGCTTCAGCCCCATGTGGACAGGACATCTGGGTCCCTAGCTAGGCCACCGTCAAACCTCATGATCACTTTGCCCCATTTAACCCCAACTGAACGTCCACTTCCTAGCGTCCCTATACACGGAAAACAACAGGAACTGGGGAATAATTTATTGAAATTGGAGGAATAAATAAGACAGGTGGGAGGGATTACAAATAACTGTAAAAAAATCACTAATATTTATATACACAAATGCGCTTCCCGCCCCCGGGGAGGAGCCCAAACCGCGGGGCGGGGCCCCGGCTGGCACCACCTTCCGGCCCGGAAGCGGATCTCTGCGCCGACACGCGGGCACCCCCCAGAGGTAGATGGGTTATTTACAACGGAGGAGATACAGAGGGTCCAGGCGGCGGGGCACGCCTCGTCTCCCCAAACCCCAAACCTGGGCGTCCCCCTGGCCCTAGGAGGCCCTCCGCGGCGCTCTCCCGGCCCCTTTCCCCTGCGAGTGGCCGCGGAGCTGCACCCTTTGCACGATCCTCTGGACCCAGGAGCGGTGGGCCGTCAGGCTAATGTAGACGCCCGGGCGGTTGCGCTCCGCGCAGCCCTCGCCCCAGCTGATGATGCCGGCCAGCAGCCAGGTCCCGTCTACTTGGCACATGAGGGGGCCCCCGGAGTCACCCTGCCGGAGAGGGGGAACGTTAGGAACCCACACGGGTGGGGGGATGGGCAGGGGGAGGGGTGAGCAGGGGGTGGGGTAGCAGGTTTCTTTCTGGGTAGCCTGTTTCTCCTTCCTGAACGCAGGGAGGCCAAGGAAGGACAGCCTGCGGTGAGGAGCATCTTGCATCCCTTCTCGCCTCACAGGACTCCCTAGAGTCCACCTAGAGGCACCTTGGAAGAAAGGCCTGGTGATCTACTTCCAAAAAATCAGTCACTGAAAAGCCTACGGACCACAGTTCTACTCTGACGCACATGAGGTCGCCATGAGCTGGGATCGACTGGACGCCTACTGGTTTTTTTTGTTCTTCCGTCACAGCCCTGTGAGGCAGGACTATTGTTATTTCTGCTTTACAGAGGAGGAAACAGAGGCTCAGAAAGAAGGAATGTCTTGCCCCAGCTCGCACAATGCATGGGGCTGAGCAGGAATTCAGTCAGGCCTTAACCACTGCATGACCCTGCCTTCCCCACCACATGCTGGAGCTGGAGCTGGGGGCCTGGTTTGGGAAGCACCTCATGAGGATGCAGGTTCCTGCGAGGAGGGTCTGTTTTGTTCCTAGCTGCATCCGTGCCTAGCGCAGGGCCTGCCGCAACTGAGATGCTAGGTGTATGTGTGAGGAATGAACAGATGCGCGATGCCTAAGCCAGGCTGAGGATCAAGGGCTGAAGGGTACGGCCAGGTCCCAGCTGGTTCTGGGTAGGAGCCCAGCGAGGTGAAGGAGTCCAGTGGGGGCAGGGCTGACACTGGCCGGAGCGAGGACAGGTGGGATGCTCACCAGGCAGGCATCTTTCTCCCCTTCCAGGTAGCCGGCGCACAGCATGTCCTCGGTGATGGCTCCCTGCCCAGCTCCCCACCAGTAAAGGCGGCTGCAGACGTTTGTGTCGATGATGGGAACCTTCAGCTTCTTCAGGGTCCGAGGGTGGGCCAGGGGCACTGGAAGCAAGGAGGAGAGAGTTAGGCTGGGGCCCTCCCAGTCGGCTCCTCAAGCACCTGTTTCCCTCCATCACCCTCAGCAGTGTTTATCAATGGCAAATGCTCGGCTGGCTCTAATTGGAATTCCAGGGCCTCGGCCTCTGGACCTGCTCAATTAGAACATGTGAATGTAGATCCTGAGAAGCTACATCTTTAATGAGCTCCCCAATGCCCATGAAATGCTTACAGCCAGTGCTCCAGCTTTCCCCATTCTAGGCACTACTTTTTTCCAGCTTGGGGCTGCTGCAGAATACGTGGTCAGTACCATCCGCTGTGGGTGGATGAATGTGGGTTTCTCTTGTCAGGACTTCAGGAATCTCCACACCCTGCCTAGGGCTGGTCCAGAGACTTCCCAGTCCATACAGCTCCCACAGGGACCCCTAAGGATGACTGAGAAAGCTGGAACCTCAGAGGCAGTGAAATCCCCAGACACCCAATCTGGTGTCATTTCTCTGAGTTCTTCTGGAATCTGGTTAAAGTCCTATTTTCCTTCCACTTTCCTTACTTAGTGTCTCTCTCCCTCAGAAGCCCTGTCTTCTCCATCTCCATTGTACCTCCTGCATCTCCTGCTTTCTGCCCGTCTCTTTCTCTTCGCTCAATCTCTCTCACTTTCTACTTCTCTGCTCTTGTGCTTTATTTGCTCTGGTCTGTTTCTTGATGATGTTTTCCAAACACCCAAACTTGGTTTGAAACTTATATTTAATAGTTACGGAGTCAGCATTTCCTCCCTGGGAAATTTTGCCTGCAATTGTGGTATGCTGCCACTAGGGGGTGTCTGTTCCTATTTTGGAATCAGGGCTGTTTCCATATTCACCCCGCATTCAACGTGGCCCCACACATGCCTTCTTTCAGCCATTTCTATATCATTCAGTAGTTTCGTCTATCTGGCTGCTGTTGCCTTGGAACACAAAGATACCTCTCAAATAGAAATGACCTAAAATTGTCCACCCATGTTTCTGTCACCACATATCTCTAGATTGAAGCCCATGTCTCAGTCTTGCTGTGCTTCTGGCCTCAACCCTTTGATGCTCATGGTGTCTGTGTCTCTGAGTGTCCACTACCCTCCGTCCCCCTCCATCCCCAACCGCCTTCCTGGGGAAGAAGCCGCACCTCCATTGTAGATACTCCCCCAGCCTGCGATCCAGCAGTCGGTGTTGGGAGGGAAATGGACGGAGTTATCAGGGAGGCAGATGGGCAGGATTCGCTCAGAGAACTGGATGGGGCGTTCAAGGCGCACCAGGGCGATGTCGGCACGGGCACCCTCCTTCCAGGAGTACATGGGGTGGGGCTGCACCCAGGCAATCCCCACCTTCTGGGACCGAAGGCCAGGGTTGTCCAGCTGCCAGACCCCCAGCAGCACAGAGAACTGCGATGGCTTGTTCAGACGGCTGGTGGGAAGAGGGAAGAGGGTGGGCTTAGCCAAGGACCACAGGGTGGCCAGGGAGACGGTGGGAGGGGATGGCAGGGCAAAGAAGCTTCTGGGAGGAAGTAGCTTCTCCACCGGGGGGCATCGAGGTTGGACAGAGGTCCGCAGTGGGGCAGGAGGCCTGGAGAATCAAGTGGAGGAGACTGGCTTACGTACCCCTTAAAGCAGTGGGCGGCAGTGACCACCCAGCGGCTGGTGAGCAGGGAGCCCGCACAATGGTGGGTCCCATTCTTCTGGATGCTCACGACCCACGGCCACTCGGCGTCAGCACTGTCCTCGCCCCCCACGATGCGGTTCAGCTGCAGTGGCTTCCCACAGGCCGTGGGCTCTGGGGAGGAAGGCCAAGTTTCTGTCACCCCCTCGGGCACCCTCCCCTCCTCCTTCCACTCCATCCATCCCACCCCAACATACTCAGGCCCACGGTTCCAGTCTTTTTACCCAATTTCCCATTGCCTTCACCCCCTCTGCCTTCCTGCCTTGATTTACCCTCCTTCTTCGCTGTTCCTTCTGAAGACCTTAGCTGGCCTTTCCCTCCACCTCTTTTCTTAACCCTTCCCCATCTCTGTCCTGTTTACCTCCTTGAGTCCCTCTTTGCCCTCCCCTGGCCCTCTCTGGCCCACACCCAGGCTCTTTTATGCTTTCTGGGTCTTCCTTCACGGGGAAAGGTGACGGTCTGCTTCCGCGAAGATTACAGCCTTGGAAACCCTATAGGGAAGTTCTACTCTGTCCTGTAGGGTCGCTATGAGTCAGAATCAGCAATGGATTTGGGTGTTCCTTCCTTCCTTCTCTTCCCTCCCTCCTTCCTTCCTCTCCAACCCTATCCCCCGCCCCCCATTACCCCACTCCCTCGTCTGACCTGCCCCCACAAACACAGACACACAGACATGACCCCTCCCCTCCCCTCAGGGCAGACATCTGGCACTCACCAGGCATCCTGGCAGCATCCAAGGTGGCTGAGGGGAGACATGGAAAGTGTCAGGCTGGTGGGAGAGGACCCTGGCCGGGTGGCGCGGGGGCCCTCTAGGTGGGGTACCTTCTCCAGGTGGCTCATTCCCCAAGCCTCCCAGGGCAGGCACTTCCTGGCGCCCCAAGCCCTCTCTGTGCAGCTGCAGCCTCACCCTCACCTCTCACCAGCTTCCTGTCCAGGCCCAGGCTTCATCCCACCTACAGGGGTAGGACCAGGCCTGGGGCCTCTCTGACTGAGGGGCTGAGCTGAGGAGAGAGGCGGCTCAGGAAGCACAAACTTGGGCCCCTTGGGCTTCTTCCCCCAGGCCTGAGTCTCTGGCCCAAGACTCTCCACACACACAGTCTCTCTCTCTCTCTCTCTCTCACACACACACACACACACACAGAGTGTCTCCTCACACACAGTGTCTCTCACAGAGTGTCTCTCAAACACACACACAGATTCTCACACACAGTGCCTCTCACGAACACACACATAGTATTTCTGTCTCACAAACACACACTGTCTCTCTCACAAGCACAGTGTGTTTTTCTCACAGTGTCGCCCACAAACACACGGTGTCTCTCTCACAGACACACACACAGTGTCTCTCACAGACACAGTGTCTCTCTCACACAGTATCTCTCACAAACACACACAGTATCTCTCACAAACACACACAGTGTCTCTCACACACACACACAGTGTCTCTCACAGACACACACACAGTGTCTCTCACAGACACAGTGTCTCTCTCACACAGTATCTCTCACAAACACACACAGTATCTCTCACAAACACACACAGTGTCTCTCACACACACACACAGTGTCTCTCACAGACACACACACAGTGTCTCTCACA